GCATAAAAATAGACAAAATGATTCGCCTGAAACAATTTTAACTTAATACAAAATAAACCATTAAAATATATATAAATAACGCAACTTTACGTCACAACCACTGTTGCTGGGTAAACGACGCGTGTGCATTTATMTATTAACAAAATTGTGTGGTTTGTTTTTGAAGTGTTTGCCAAAATATCGAAAATAAATTAGAATTATTGGTAAGTGGAAACAAATATAAGTTATGCAAATTTTCTTCTTATTACATACTGTCTGTGTATATGTTTGTATGTATATATGGCATATGATAWGCAGCATTCCGAATGCCACTACCCCCACCCAGTAATTTTCTTTGCTATTTGGTAGTAATTTACATGAGTACGTAGTAGGTTAAAACTTTCCGGAATTTTCCACTGGTCATCTCCTTTTTATTCCGTTTTGCCATGCACTTTTTGCCGCTATCGTTCGCGCATGATTTATACTCTTCCCTTTTTTGTTTTGATATTTTTATTCTATTTTGTTTCCATTACCTTTTGCTGCAACCTTCGCCACTGCGACAGCAGTTGCTGTTTACGAAGGAATGCATGCGTAGAAAATCGATTTCTTCACAAAAATAAAGATGATATAGGGGAAATTGAGAATAGATAGGTACACACATGTGTTTGTACGTATGTGAATACATGTGCATATCTTAAATTTGTCGTAATGTCTAGTAATGTTTATGGCTTTGCAATAATATTAGATTTTCATACGTCTTTGAAATTTTGCTAACACAGTTTTAAATATAAAAGTTTCGCTTTCTATATCCTACACAAGAGTGTATACCATTTGCAGCGAATTGGAAAACCATTAAAACCCAGTTGACACATGTTCCAAAGTCTGCTCTTGTATGTAGCTAAATTGCAACGACAAATCTGCAAAGTATCGCAAATGTTGTGTKGCTTAGTGTTCATATGGACTTCGGAAAATCGATCAAAATCATAATGAGCAAACATACAATAAATGCGAACAACCGTTACAATGTAAAATCACATGAAACTTTTCGTCAATATACAAAAGGAAATAGCAACAAACCGACCAACTGGCTGCTTACTCCACTACATGCTTATCGTGTTRTATACTACATACAYATGTACATTTAGGCATATGAGTGAAATTCATTGTATCATTCCTGTTTTTCTGGCACGTTCCATTCAACGAATCGTCGGCCAGTCGGCAAACCAATAAGCCGGTCGATTGTCTAGCCCGACGGCGTTTCAATATTGTCTGCTTACATCGTTCGTTGTCTTCTGTAATATGCACAAGTCTTGTGACTGCATAACCAGTGCAACGTTCCCAACAACAATCAAAAAAATTATATGTAATATATGAACTATTTTAATCTTCAGCTTGTATGGGAGCTGTAGGCTACACTGGTTTCAATTTGAATCTGARTCTTCTGACATTGTACTGTTCCCTTAGGCAATAATCAAAGCCAGATTTTGGGAAGGTATCTCGACGAAGCAGGATGGAGTCATGGGTAGAAGTTCACGCAAGTGTGGAAAGTTCTCTGATTGCCATTTAATTGGGAGTGCCAGAAACGATTATATTATACACATACATATGCCTCAACCAGCTCACGATTTCCGGTCTTAAACCAAGTATCCTCTGGGTAGGCAAAGAGCATCCGTTCGAAGGTGAAGTGAGAAGGCTTGCCCTCCCTCCCCAGGTTGTGCGTTGGATTTGGGACCCGCCACGTAAAGAAAGTCCCAATAAAAAGAAAAACTCGGCTATAATCGAGCAAGAGGTATCCACGCCAGTAAAGAAGAAGAATCTCGACAAAAGAAAAAACTTTCCWTAATTGATTGGATTTGGACAATTTTTATCCATAAAGTGGCAAACTTTAGAGCCATTATTCGTGTAAAGATGTATCCCTTTATATTAATTGATTCCTTATTTTTGTACTGCTATAAGGGAAGTAGGCGTGGTTATAGTCCGATTTCGCCCATCCTTATCGTTTAAATATAATATGAATGACCCTATATCTACCTCTCTTAATTTTAGGCGAAAAACAAGCGATAGGTGAAAAAATCTATTATGCTTTTTAGCAACATGTTACAAGAGTATAWACAACTTATTGGCAATGAGTAAAATGTAACAAGTCTATTAAAACCCCTTCTGTAACACCTAAAAACCCATTAAATTGTATAAATAAGAGACAATCACGAAGAAGAATGAACTCACATAGGTATATAATTCCAAACCTCAAATACCTAGAATATTGTCCATAAATTGTAATTATAGTGGATTCAAAACTAAATAAATAATGCTGTGATATATTATCAACACCTGTAAGCTAAGCTAATTGAAAGATGCGCCCATATGCCGCACCCACTAGTTTACTAGCACACGCTAGTTCAACATTTCATTATTTGTAGGGCAGCCCAACAACTTCGAACTACGCAGTTASGCTCGACACCTCACAGACAAACCTGTAATTGGCTGACTGGGTGGCGTGTCGGTTTAGTCAACCTTTTATGCCGATTAGTGCCAGTTGTTATTGATATGAATCGGATTGCAGCATAGAAATTATCTCATTCAGTTTTATTGGCGCTCCCGCTCTCACCTTCYCTACTATGAGTATAAAAGTTTGCTCCCATTGTAGTTTTTGTGGACAAACACGCTGACAAACATATGCAATTYGTTTGTCAATTCATTGATTATTACTCATTTTTCCCACATTCGTCATATACTTCGTAACCAATCGTYTGCACATAGTTCGCGTATATTTGTTCGGCCGGTCGGTTGGAATGTCGGTTGCTTCTCAATGATGGCCATGTGAAGCTCATTGCACTTTGTGCAGCAAAAATGCATGCAACTTTTTAGCCGGCCTAGAGTGAGTGAGTGCCCRSTCGCCGACGCTGATGCCGTTGCCAAGAGACCGCAACGACGACGTATTATTCACGAACACGAAATGTTGTCGAACTTGGTCAACGGACATGCGTACAAATATTATAATATATAAGCGTTAACATTCCTATGGATCCACCCAGCYGTCTGGTAGTGCAGTTTGTGGAATATAGGGTGTTTCAAAAGTTATTATAGAGAGTGAAAAGGCTCAATCTTAAAGTTAAGCGAAGAACTCTAATCGATCAAAATGCCATCTGACTATTTAAATTAAGTAAGTTTAGGTTAGGTTAGGTGGTAGGGTTGATCTAAGTSGATCTCACTTGGACACTTAATCGTTCATTGGATTACATATGTATTTATTCTACAAAGTGGACTAACAAATCCTTAAAGATCGACGAAGCTTTTTGAGCTTAACAAAAATATCAWTCCCAGCAATGTTACTAGGTTCGCCAAAGGTATGTATTTCAATTCATATCAATTTCAGCAGTTTTGCTGGGTTCGCCAATGGTGTGCCTATCGAGATATTTGAATCCATCTATGTAACTTTGGCAAAGAGCGTCCGGCAGAAAAAGTAGTTGCATTGTGTATTAACCTATGGGAATGTGTCCGGTCAGAGCACCTGCAATTGCTGCGGGATTGAAAAGCAAAGAGCAAGCTCTTCGGASGACCTCTGGGTCGGAAGAATCTCGCAGTCGTATCAGTTCTGGGTGTTTACCAGCGCTTGCTGAGCTCACAGGAAGTCCGTAGGTCCGACAGGAGTGATAAGAAACTTATAGCTGATTTTTGTTCGGGATCTCTTCTCAGTTACCTACCAATCCCAAARTATCTCTGGTAAGCAAGAGTTTTTCTGCGCTGGATCTTTAGGTYCCGATTTAGACAAAGTCCTAAACTTGTTGAAATTTGTAGAAGCCAACYGTGTGGTATTGTTCAAGAATAACGAGAATACCGAGTTGCCTTTTGGCGAACCCTGTATCGATTTKCATTACTTTTGATCACACTTCATTACATATTAACATGATTCCCTGCTRTTCATTGTCGACACCGTTGCCATCGTCCGCAGTTGTGTGGATGCCACAACCACCAGAACCACCTCGACATAGCTCAATTGTAGTCGCGATATGTATGCACAACGCACGATGCTGTTGCATGGTGCGGCTCATTCATGCCAGCTCTGGCTCTCTCCAAGTAAGCGCGCGCGTGCTCACTCTCAAACGTTTTCTGCAATATCTCTGGCCGCATGCATGCGCTGCCTGGGTCTACTGCAGGCATATTTTCTCTACCAATTGCTGTCTGCACTATCCACATTATTTATACATATGCACGCTTTGTTATTGTARTACTTGTTGTTGTTATTGTCAGTGCTTATAATGCAACTTATATAGTGTTTTCTTRATTTTTAATTCTAGAATTTTTCCGACAACCACCACTCTGAGTTTGCATTCGAAAGCGTACACACGAAGCGCACGACGCAGCGAGCAGCAGCAATACAACCACGGCGAAATCCAAATCAAAGCGCATAATAAATATTGGAAATTTCCWACTAATGAAGCTGAAGCTTGTGACAGCGGCCAGCGACCAGTGAGCAACAAAAATTCGCATTTTATTGCAATTCAACGAAAAATCATAACTGTGCATGTGAGTGTGTGTTAGTGAAAACTTAACTGTATTTGCCAAGAAATATTCACGGTTTTAGAGCAAATAAATATTATTTTCGATAATTTTACGCTTTAAGTTTTGACACTTCAAAAGTTAAAACAGTTAGAAAAATCAGCAACAAAATGTCGCGTTTAAGTAAATCAAATTCGTCTAAAAAAGTGTCGCTTTTAAAGACTAAAAAGTTTATGTGATATTCGTATACGTTCGAAAGTCATATAATAACAACAGCAACAAGCAGCAARATAAGCAATTATTTAGCGAAAAGGTCGTGCAGTCGAAACACTGCGTATATAGCGAGGAATTTGTAGCAAAACGCTAAAGTCGACCCAACACTGGGTGGTAATTTTTATAAAACGACTGGGCGCTTTAAGAAAATGTTGTGAATTTTATAAAAAAAAAAAAAGTTTTGAAAATTCCAAAAATTCTAAAATCAAAGAAAAAACAAACAAGTTTCATTAAAAAAGTGTTGAAAATTCAAAACTTATAAAAACAACACATTTTCATAAAAACATTGAAATTTTAAAAATTTATTTTAAACTAAAAAGTGCGTTTTTCAAGCGAGTCAGCGTRAGTTTCAGAACAAAGTTTACGAAATCAGATCGAAAACAGAAATTTTCAACTAAAAATACTTTGAATTGCTGCGTAGAAGCTCAACTTAAAATAAACAGTTAAAAAGTTTAAAGCTCAACTGAAAAAAGTTTGAAGCTCTGCTRAAAATAAACAGTTACAAATAGCTTGAAATTTTTGGAATAAAAAATTTTATCAAAAAATTCCAAAAAAAAAAAAAGCTTTTTGCAACACTTTCAAACTCGAAAAATTGCAAAGCACTTGAAAGATTGCTTAAAAAATAAGCGAACGCCCTTTCAATTGCACCGTGCCCCCAACGACCTTAGAGTTACAGACCCATATACATTCCATAACAAGTCTAGCGCAGAGTAAATACAAGCGAGACCAGCAAAAGCAGCTGACAGACCGCTATACGTGGGCAGAAGAAGAAGAAGAGACAGCAGCAGTAGCAGCAGCAGAAGCAGCTCAAGTGCAAATATCAAGCGACGCGTTCCATAACCAAATAGACGCCTTAAAGTTGAAAGACACCAATTGCCGTCACTGCCTAATGGCAAGTTCGCTCAATAAAACGAGACACAGGCGCAGATTGACTGCGATCTCGTTTCTATCGAATATTTCATTAGATGGCACACATCGGGATACTAAATTTGGAGCAACAATTGGCATTTGTGGCAACGCGGCTACAACGTACAACGCAACGGCAGCGGGATTACAAAGTGGCGCAACGACTGGCGGCGGTATCGGATACGGCGGCAGCGGCGGCGGCAAACAGCAGCATCAGCACCAACACTTCAACTACAATCGCAATAATCGACATCCACGGCAACAGCAGCATCAACAGCATTACCATCAACATCACTACTATACGCAACATCATACGAATGGCGCAGGTTGTAATGTGGGTAACGGCAACGCCGGCGGCACTGGCATGCCTTCGGCTGCCATGTATCTCGCCAATTGCGATGATACGCACATGGACCTCATGGGCGACGGCGGTGGTAGTTGTTGTGGTGCTGGTGAAGGTGGCGGCGGCACTGGCAGCGATGGCTGTGCCGATAGTACCGGCAGCGCCGATGGTGATGGGCATTTTAGTGAAATTGAAAATATGGGTCAACACTTGATAAATGCACGGCCAGGCAACGCTTACAAGGGCGATGGTGGTAATACTAAAGCAACAACAGCAACTGTCGCAGCCAGATCGACAGTCAAGCATATGGATAAATCCGCTGGTGACTACGACATCATCAGCGGCAGCGATGGCGGCGGCGGCGGCATCAGCGTTGGCGTTGGTGGTGGTGCAAGTGTGACTGAGAAGCGCAATGTTAAGCGACCCACATCGAGTAGTCGGCAACAGTGCAATCATAATTGCAGGCAAACTTCTAAGCATGGCACCATGGGCATTGCCAGCAAGCAACAGTTGGCCGGCGGTAGCGGCGGTTCGGGCGCCGAGAGCGGCAGCGATTCGGATAGCGTCAAAATACCAATGAAAGTTTCCAGTTTGGGTGCTGGCATACTAATGCCATTGCGTGAAAGGTGAGTGCAAATGAAACCGTTATTACTTTACACGAAATATCAAATTGCTCAATGTACATATGTATGCGATGTATTGCAAATGTAATGCTCTCAAGATAGGACGTTGACTTGTCATAAGTCATTGTAAATCTTTCCACTTTGACGCGAAAACTGCGTTGAGAAACATCGAACCAAGTCAAATTTAAATTAAAATTAAAAA